CGAAAAACTGTTAGATACCATTCGTAACCTAAGATGACATCAGGGCATAAACAAGGGTCACGGACACCATTTTCATGTTCAGTGTGTCTAAACCACTTGTAATTCGGTGTTTGGGAGTGTTTATAATGTCTTTCATCCAAAAGAGGCGCATTTCAGTTTTCTCCCATTGACTTATAATGGGGAGGTCGCAAAATTGACCTGACCTTAGGTCATCGATATCAAAATTCTGAGATATACATTTTGTACATACTATTGCTCTTAGCAATCGCTGAAAGTTTCAAAGCGATCGGTCACTCGGTGTAGCTATGACAGACATTGAAACTTTTTATGAGGTGAGGTCACTTCAAGTGACCTGGTGACCTGACCTTGAATGACCTTGGTCTGAAATTTTCACAACATGTGTAGAATTGATGTATGATAAGGTGTACCAAAAACGGCGGCGCCGCCGTTTTTGAGATATTCGCGAAAAACCACAAGGGGGGTGTTCAAACACCCCCCCCCCCAGCAGGGCGCGGGTTAAATAACCAATTGCGAGAACCTATGCATAGGTAAGGTAACCGTCTCAACAAGACGGTTCTACCTGCTGGAGGCGGTAGCACGATCAGCAAAGCATCGTTTCTTCTCGAGCGAGAAACTTAATCTCTTTTTTTATGATTGAATATTGTTAAACATAAAGTACGCAAAAAGTGCAAGTTTGTAGCTATATTCAGCTTTCATGTAAATACTTTGGCCTTTCCATTCGAACAGCAGAATCCAGCCCATAAACGAAGCAAGAAACATCCATATTCACACATATCCAGCCGAGTGTCAAGCCCGGTTGACCTCTATAGGTACTATCAGAGACGGCCGGGCCGCGATGTAACTCGGTGTGAAATCCGCACCGCTCCGGCTGAGGCGGCACCATTGAGAGCCGCAGACTCTGGACGACACGAGAGCCGAGTGTCGTCACCGTTACGTCACAGGTGGGGCGGCGGCGCGGCGCCCAAGTGGGTCCTCTCGGCGCCCTCTCGGCCGTGACGTCAGTGTCGTGACGCCGCCGCGTGACGTTATACAGGACACGCACAGCGTCCCCGGACCGCGGCGAGGACACATCATCTGACCTGTCGCAATGCGGTGTCTTACTCACGGCAGCGCCACAGTTTGTGTGTAGAACACGCAGGTGGAAAGCTTGGGCAAGGTTATTTAATCACTTCAGTCCTACTCATGCCTACTCAATCCTCATAACTCATACATAGATACCTACTCGTACTCATTTCAAAGCTCACGCATTCGTTTACACTTTCTGTGAAAAGTTTTGGTAACTAACTTCATGTGTCTGCGTTGGCCTTGCTGGCCGCGGCTCATTCCGTCTATTGAGACCATTTTGTAGCCGTTTGATGAGAGTTTAAACTTTAAAGGATCGATAAGGTCGACATTAGGCTGTTGCTGGTATGGTCTCCCTCCCTCTCATACAAAAAAAAAAAACTGTCCGGCGATCCAGTCCATAGCTCAATCGGTCTGGGGCCTCCGTCGTTACGATATACCCGGGCTATCAAATACGCGGACTGGCGATAAATCGTGTCCGTTCTTCCGGTAAAGACGTCAAGTGAATGAAGGCATCGGCCGGTTATCTTTCATCAGTTACTGTTTATTTCAATCCGTCTTCCATGCCAAGAAAGAAAAGTTAAGTCCGTCTGTAAAAAAAAAAAAAAAATCCTGATATACTTCTTACGTTTTTCTCCCCTACTTATCTTCGCAATGTTTCTTTCCGCACCATTCCCCTCGTGGTGCCTCAACTGTCACCTCTCGCCCGTGCCCCCCTCCTTCCCATTCCGAGGTGTGACCCTCTCGAGTTCGGCCGAGTTCCCGACACGAGTCGGCGGAGCCGTGTGTGGTGGCCTGTGAGTTGAGTCGGGGCGGCTGTTAGCGGCTCGTTGGCGCCGGCTGGGGACAGCTGGCCCGGCCGTTACCGGTCTGCCCGCGCCGCCGTCGCGCCCGACGCTTCCCCGGCGTCGTTTGCGTCGCCGGCGACGCGCATTATGTATGCAGAGGGGCCATCATTAACCGTGCCGTCGGCGGCGGCGACCTGGGTGCGCTCCGTCAGTTGGATGAGACTAGTTTAGCGACATGCGCCGCCGGTGACCATGCGGCCGCGCGCGGCGCTGTCACCCATTAGGGCCGCAGGCCGGCCCGCCGGGTCCCCATCAGGCGCGATCGAATATGGAGATGCGTCACGAGGGCGTGCCTGGCGCGTCATCTGTTTCAAAGTTAACAGACGACCGCCGGCTCGGGTCCCGAGCGGTGCGCCCCAGCGCGGCGCTCCGGCGGTCGGAAGAGTCAGACGGTTGGTTAGACCCTCAGCCGCCGACACGGCGCTCTGAATTACACAGCGCCGGACTCGGCCGTCCAACGTCATAAACTGCTTTACACCGTGTCCGGTGGCGAGCATGATGAGAATGGATTGAATTATAAACGGCGTTAGGCCATGGCTTTGATCCCTGGGTTTCTTTACGAGTCTGAGTGATGACTGGTGTCGCTGGCCTTTTCACTTTCTCAGGATCCACTGAGTGGTGGCGGTGGCTGTGGATCGGTAAAAACATGGTGTAAGCTAGCATCTGTTGGCGAGTCGGCGTCCCCAGTGTCGCGACGAGAGACACAGCTGCGCCTAACGCCAAAAACAACACCGAAATCTAATTGTCCAAATGGCAGCCGCATCATATCCCCCGAGGCTTGTAGACCAAGGAGTTCCAAAGTGCCGAAAGAGCTTGTAAATTAGTTGTAAATGGACCGGGTAACTAATTTTGGGCGGATGCTAGCCACGAAGAAAAAAGGAGACCACGTCACTGGCTTTTACATACATTAATATAATTGAGGCAAACAAGCGTTTTCTGCCAATCTCAAGCATATCCTACGTGGTCAATTGCATAGGTACTGTGACGGTCGCCCAGCTTCGGAGCAAAGTATAGGCATGCGTTTTTAAGATCGTCATTTTTGCAACATTGTAAAGCCGATTGCCGATTGCTTGCCGCGACGTTCTTTATAAACTAATTATGCAGCACTGTCTGCATATGATATTTTGCAATCAAAGCAATGATCAAGACCATGATGGCAAGCTATTTTATTCACAAAATTGTCCGTTATTGAATTTATACTAATTCAATAACTATGTAACATTACAAAAGACGAAGTAAATGATCAAATGTGGTACAATAACCGTTACAACCCGAAATACGGATGTCAAACTCCTGTTCATATTCATCAAATCTGCATGGCTTCACATACCCATCTATCTATGTAGACAAACCACCATAGCTACCACTGCGGCTCGCATGGGTATTGGAGACTAACCTAAGAATCAAGTTGTCAATAAGGAAGATGAGACCGTGTCAGATGTCACCAATCGAGTGTACTAAGCCTCTAGAGGCGTTTTATATGAGCATAACATTCCTTCTCAAGGTAGTTCAGTTTCAGACAGCTTGAAACATTACAAGAACTTCAACAACACATTTATTTCAACATGCTCGCAAAAAAATGCCAAACAGATCGTGGTAATATGACAGCCATACCGAACACTGAGCTCTAAACGTTTTTATTTCAGCAGCATAGCATACAGGCAACCAAAACGTCAGACGGGCGAGAAGTAAATCCGAGTGAGCTGAAGATGGTGGTTTCCCACACTGGAAGACAGTATACCAAATGCTCAAATGCATACAAAATAGCATTTCTGGCAAAATATTTACAGCGACAAAATTTGAAATCATCATGATCACGCTCCACCCATAGGAGATTGTCTGAAGAGATCTAACTATTAAATTACTCTCCTCAAAAATAACTGTTGGGTTTTAAACAGCTTGATGATATTTATTGCTCAACTGTGGTATACGGGCGATGGCCATGCATTACCCATCAGCGACATTCGCAGCTATTATAGGTACATACATGTATTGATGACAGGTCGCTGGAACTCAGTTCTTACTTTCCATCTTTTCGCGGAGCAAAAATATGAAGTTTATTGGACAGTTAGATATTTTGGTATATATATGAGCTGGTCTTATAGGTCTTATCTATTCACTTCACATTAAAAATGACACAACATCGCTCAATGAAGTGACTGATAATTAATGGAAAAGATCACCCCCACCTTGCTGTAGGCATACCTCACCATGATCTACATTTGGTACAGTAGAATCCGCTTAATAAATCCTCGGATAATAAATCCAGCCACTTATTGTGGCCACTTGAGCTGTTCACGGATTTCTCAATGGAATGATAACTGACTCCGGTTAATAAAGCAACCGCTTAATAAATCCAAAACGCCGTGTCACCAAGGTGGATTAACTAAGCGGATTCTACTGTATAGTTATTCATGACGAATAAAACGATATATTTTGAGAAGAAAAAGGGAAATAAATAACTTAACACAGGTGATGTGTAATAAATTATACTTCTATGGGGTGTGTTTGTGGACCTGCTAATATCCATGACTGTAGACTGATGCATTTTTTCTTTACGCCTCATTTAAAGGTGACCAATCAAGAGCGCCCCACTGACATTATCAAACCGCAACACACAGAACCCTTACGCTAGCACAAAAAAATAGCAAAGTCGGTCATGTCATGTTAAAATACTTGTTGACATGAGGTGGAACGGTTGGCATTAAAATCAACGGGATGTTGAAAAAGGCAGGAACGTATAGGCATGCCGAGCATGTGAGATGTGGTATTCAAAATAAATGACAAATTATCATTGTACTCTTCTATCCTATTATGCAATAATTAGTTGTTGAGGACAACAAGATACCTTCCTCTCTAGCTCTGTTGCACCTTACACGGGCTATTTCATGCTCTCATGAATCAGTGCATGGCTGATAATAAAACAGGTAGACCTCTTCCATTGTGGCACATACTCGTAGATAGCCATCTTGTTTGAATGAAGAACCGCCTGGCAAGTCTGCATTATCCCATACGATAATGCTCGATAACGATCGATTGAAAGCATCCCCACAACCAGAAAACAATAGCTGCATAATGCATTCACATTTATGCCAATACTAAGTAACTCACAACTTTCCTACACACCTGCGCAAACAAAATAAAAGCAAAAGCGCACCGCGCGCATCCAGAACAGAAAGCACGTAATCCTTACACATTTTTTTGGTGTTAGGTTTCATTGAACTCCCTGAATTACTCAATCTCTTCGTTCTACTCAAAGGTACGTTATCCCGCAGCCCCGGATGAAGCACGCATCTCTGCCTGCCCGCCATTCCTCGCCGCTGCCCGCCGCCGCTCGCCGCTGAGGGCCCGCTGAGCCGGCGGCGGTGTCGGCGCGCGGACGCCCGCCGACCGACGCTCGCCGCCAGCCTCTGAGATATGTGTCGTTACACCCGTTAGCGTCCACATTAGGCGCCACTCAGCGCGTCCGATCCCGATGAGCGCCCTCCTCCCGCCGCTCTCTCCCCGCCTCCGCCACTCTCTCCTCGGGCGCGGCGTCTCATGTCGAGCCGGCCGGCTCTGAAACGTAAATTGCCGGTCAAAGCCGAGTCGGAGCGGGCCAATTTCGGCGAAAGTTTGCCGGTTGTTGCGCCGGCCGGCGATGAAGTGATGTCGGAGCGCCAGGATCGACAGCGATCCGATGACGACTGGGGGCGGCTGTTAGCGACACATGGCCGCCGGTACCTAACTTGGCGCCCGGTGAACGCCGATGAGTCGGCTCTGACACGGCTGACGTCGGCCGATTGGCGGCCCCTCCGACGGGGAGGAGCGGCCTGAACACGGCGGGGGGGGGGGGGGGGGGGAGGGGGCAGCAACACGAGTATAGTGAATCAGGGCAGGGAGCGGTGTGCTGTGCTAGACAAATGGTGCAGCGGTAGGTAACGAGGAAAACTGGCCAGTGCTTATGCTGCAAACTGTGATACAAATATTTTTGAGAAGAAGATGTGTAAAAGTTCGTAAAGTGGCATTCGGTTTACTGAGAAGCTATGTGTATAGACTATAGATATTCGTCCATAGCCATCCCACGGCATACCGCCCACTAATAAAAATTCATCCCTACTACCCCATTTGATAGGTACAGTGTTCCACCGTGAGTCATCATATCGGTCTACATATATTCACCGCAGTGCACCCAATCAAAACTTATGACCAACTTTCAGCGGTCCAAACACTTTCCCAACCAATATGCTTCAAAAGTAAGCCCTGTTTGGTTACTCACCTACGTTGTGCAATGCAGAATAACAGGAAGAATCGGCACAGCCAGGAGGTGCACCAATGATGTCATTCCTGAAAGAATCCGAAGAAAACGTAACTGTGTGAGTTCATGGAATTACCGACAGTGGCGAGCGCTCACTTACATACCTACAGATGATTGAAGACGGTGGTAAATGTCTAATATCCGTGCTGATGTATCACCTCTCTATCTCTTTCTCCCTCTTTCTCCCCCCCCTCTCTCTCTCTCTCTCTCTCTCTTTCTCTCTCTTTCTCTCTCTCTCTCTTTCTTTCTTTCTTTCAATCGTCCACCCCCCATCATAGTATTACTAATCCGCCCACACTACTATGAACGTCAAACCCCTTGAGGCCCCACTTTTTTGCGATAATTTTTAAATGCTTCAACTTTCGTTGACAATATTCTGGCAATGCATGTTTCAGAACCTGCCGAAACTTTTATTACTAAGGTATTTTGACGCCAAACGATTATGGAAGGTACTTCTCATTCACTCGTAATGTTAAGGTCAATTCAGGCCCGGGCAGAGGCTTGCGCTTGGCCACACTCGAGCCCCGCCACCAGCGCCATCTGCTCTAAATGCCATCTACCAGCGCCCGCTACCGCTACCAGCTACCGCCCACCATCAAGCCTGAATGGAGCGAGAGACGCGAGTGACCGGTCGCCGGGCAAGGAGCGCCGGAGGGGTAGGGCGGAGCTTAGCGCTGACGTCATTACGTGGCTCCGCCCCATGAGCGCGTAGCCTCTACCCAAACAGCAGATTCGTTCCGTGAAATTTAACATTACGAGTGAATGAGAAGTACCTTTCATAATCGTTTGGCGTCAAAATACCTTAGTAATAAAAGTTTTGGCAGGTTCTGAAACACACATTGCCAGAATATTGTCAACGAGAGTTGACGCATTTAAAAATTATCGCAAAAAAGTGGGGTCTCAAAGGGTTTGACGTCCATAGTAGTTTGTCAGAACTCAGCTCGATGCGTCGGTCCACTGACCTGGCGCTCCCGCCGCGGGTCGCCGCTCCTCCGCTGCGCTCTCGTCCTCTGTCTGGGAGTACGGTACCCTCTCCTGGAAGGTACCGCCGTACCCGGTCCCCCGGCTGAGTGTGGTAGAGCCTCCCGGCTCTGGCCGCCGCCGCCGGTACGGGTCGCTGGGGGGCCGGCTGCTGCTGCCGCTGCTGCTGCTGCTGCTGCTGCTGAAACTGCCGCCCCTTCTGCCGCTCTGGTCTGAGGGTCAGGTCAGGTCAGGAGTGAGGAGTTTTGCTGTAAACTCCGTCAATATCAACTGACAGCAATAACTGAGTACTTGTATGCAGTTGTTCCCACACGTGTTATGCATGTTTATACAACTTTTACTTTGGATTCAGCCTATAGGTACCTAATAGTTACCTACAGAAAAATACCGAAGGGGTAGGTATGAGGTAAGACGGCATGCCTTTTAAAATGACAAACACTATACATAGAATGGGCAAAATAGCATATAAGACATCACTACAAACAAGGAGTATATGGAATGTAACTAGGGACGGTAAACGTTCAAATGCATTTCAGATCGCCGAACAGGCATTTTTTACTCACGCCTTTGTTTCGGTGTTACATCTGCAATGGAGGAAACTGGTTGCTAATGACGCTCACAACGGCGCCGTTGGAGCCAGCACATATCGGTAGCAGCAATATAACTCATACAAATCGAAGCGCAGGCACTATTAGAAATAATAGATTTTTTGCTTAAACTATAGACTATGAGCATAAGTCCTCCTACGATTACCGAAGCGTGCTTTTTTTTACATTGCAGTCCAAGTCCTTCAGGGTCGAGAGCTACCCCAAGGTGGATGCTGTAGAACCGAACTGGTAAAGATCTGAACTACATTTATGCTTGTGCAAAACTTCACCAAGCTGGAGCCCCACACGTCGGCCGCGACTGGCCCCGCCTCACCTCTGAGCTCGACCGTGTCGTGCGCCTCTCCGAGCGGGTTCTCGCAGGCGCACCGGTACCTGCCGAAGTCTGTGCCGGCCACGCTGTGCACGGTGAGCACCAGTCGGCGCCGGTAGTGGGCGGCGGCGGCCAGCAGGCCGATCCGCAGCCGGTCGCCGCCCTGCAGCACGGCGCCGGGCCGCGGCGACCAGCGACCCGCCGCCGGCTGCGGGCCGCTCCAGTAGCACAGGCCGCGCGGCCACGCCTCCACCGCACACTCGAGGCTGGCGTTCTGGCCGCGCACGGCCGTCACCACCCGGCGAGCGGCGCGGACCTCCGGGGCGACTGCCGCAGGCACGGGGCAGGGTCAGACGAATACTCGTGACTTAAAACCACGCACCTCCGGGGGACCCATGCCGCAGACACGGGGCAGGGTCAGACGAATACATCGTGACTTTAAACCACGCACCTCCGGGGGGACCCATGCCGCAGGCGCGGGGCATGGGTCAGACAAATGCACCGGGTCTGAAATTAACAAACACCTTCCATGATACAAGTAAAATACCGATAACTGGAAAAGGCAAAGGCAGGAAGACCTCGCTTTGCCCTCGGCCGCCAAACTCTCTCTCTCTCTCTCTCTCTCTCTCTCTCTCTCTCTCTCTCTCTCTCTCTCTCTCTCTCTCTCTCTCTCTCTCTCTCTCTCTCTCTCTCTCTCTCTCTCTCTCTCTCTCCCTCCCTCTCTCTCTTTTAGTCTCTCCTCTCAGTCTCTCCCTCTCTCCGCAAGAAAGCAAATTTTGTAGTGTGCTTCAAGAAGGTTAGCCCTAATAAGCGCTTTCGAAAGGCAGCTGGCGATTGCCAGGCTCGACTATGCATGGCATGACTTTTTGACATTCAAATGACCTTCTGCGTCATGGGTGTAGGAGCGCCAAAAATATTGGTGAAGGATGCCACCTGAACCTTATGAAAAGGGACAGGACCGTGCCAACCAACACGCACAGTGCAAGCGGGGGGGGGGGCGAATTTCGCCAACCCCTTGTTTTTCGCAGATATCTTACGCCCTTATCATCCCATTAACGTCAAATTTTCAATGCCTGCCTAAAATTGAATTGTGCATCTTGCCATGACAGCAAGATGTAAATCAGGGCCTCGACTAAGGAATTTTGACTACTGGGGCAAATGGTCAAAGTGTGTTAACCCGCGCCCTGCTGGGAGGGGGGGAGGTTTTTGAACACCCCCCCCCCTGCGGTTTTTCGCGGATATCTGAAAAACGGCGGCACCTTATCATCTATCAATGTTATACATTTTGTGAAAATTTCAGACCAGGGTCCTTCAAGGTCAGGTCACCAGGTCGCTACAAGTGACCTCACCTCATAAACACATCATAAAATGTTTCAATGTATACCATAGCTACACCAAGTGACGGATCGCTTTGAAGCTTTCAGCAATTGATAAGTGCAACAGTATGTACAAAATTCGGAATTTTCATATCGGTGACCTAAGGTCGGGTCAATTTTGCGACCTCTAGGTATTAAAAGTCAATGGGAGAAAATTCAAAACCGTCTTTTTCGGACGAAAGTCATTCTAAACACTCTCAAACACTAAATTACAAGTAACTTTGACACACTGAACATGAAAACGGCACCCGTGACCCCTGTTTATGCCCCTGAGGTCATCTCAGGTCACAAATGGTATCTAACAGTTTTTTGCGACTAACTTTTGAAAGAGGCATGCTAGAGCGATGAAAACGCCTTATATATGTCCAGCTCGACGATACAGATCCACTAATATGCAACATGACAATGTCCGGTCAAATCATGACCTTGACCAGAGGTCAAATTTTTAAGTTGAACTTTCAATGTCAAATTATAGTTCATTCGATGCGTCTTGACAAGAGGAACACGATGTCGGTAAAAGAAAGCTCGTGCAAGGCTTGAGTCAAAAGTTATTGCAGAAAAACTGTTCCCGAAAAATCGTCTATTTTGGCAGTTTTTGCCCCCTGCAGGCAAAACCGTTGACGTTAGGTCAAATCTGAGCGAATTTCTCAGAAAGGGCGTTAATAGGGCTATCGAATGCGCTTTTCCGTGGCGCTGTAGCTCTATTGGTTCCCGAGCTATGCGTTGGCTTCTTGGAAATTGTCGACATTCGACCTGGAAATCGGCGAAATTTTGCCTTCAATGACCTCTGGTGACCTGACCTTTGACCTGACCAAAAAGTGACCTAAGTGATTTCGTCATTATTTTTGGCGCTCTTTCGAACGCCGCCTTCCGCGTATCGCTACGTGGCCCAGGAGCCGAGTTAGAGGGGGGGGTTCAAACACCCCCCCCCCCCCAGCAGGGCGTGGAAATCCAGGACCCCCAGCCGGGCGCGGGTTAAAAAACAGACATTTGATCAACCGTCGAATCCAGTAGTTCTAAGCATAGGTACTAGGTAGGTGAAGACCCTCCCTTGCATTGTCCAAGATTGGTGAAGGATCCTTCACCAATCTGAAACTTTGGTGAAAGGTATCCTTCACCAAAGAGATACGTTGCTACGCCTATGTTCTGCGTCACTGATTCTATTGCCGCAGTGACTCCCTAAAGGTGCGGTTAGCGCGATCGAGTCAAGGTGCAGCTCGTCAGAAGTGCCGCCAGTGTGACCGTGGCCAAACATGCCGTCTCGTAATGAAATCCGAGAACTAACCCACAGTACACAACAACACTTTGATGTTTACCGCTCAGAGCACAAACGATTTATTTGCAATTGGCCAACATCGATAGCAACGTCCTTGCCGCCTATACAGTTTCTGATTGCCACGTTGTTACGTAAGTAACGACAATTTCTTATCTCGTCTGGTTAATTTGCAAACACTCAAACACATATTTGTGAACCCTGCGTCACTTAAAACTGATATGTAGTGTAGCTATGTACAAGCGTATAGCCGTTCTTGCAGTTGACCCGCCGTTAAACGAGCGCTCCAGTGTTTGTACTCACAGTTGACGCGCAACTGGACGTTTCTACTCACAGTTGACGCGCAACTGGACGTTTCTACTCACAGTTGACGCGCAGTTGGACGTTTCTACTCACAGTTGACGCGCAGTTGGACGCGTTTGCTGACGGCGGGCGGCCATCCGTTGGAGGCGATGCAGTAGTAGTCGGAGGAGAAGTGTCTCCTGACGACGCCGAGCTCCAGTCGCGAGCCACCCATCGTGTACACTGCCGACACAATTCATTATCAATAAAGTGCACGAACGTCACTCTATTCATTATATTGCAATGCTCTTGCGAGCCTTTTAAGGCAATGGATAATGAACAATACACTAATGAACAGGGATGAACTTGGTCACGCGGCCAGCCGGCCCGATCGTAACGGCCGAAATTGAAATGGGCTCACATCCAGCGAGCGGCACGGGCCACCGACACAGTCACGTGACCGGTCGGCCCCGGGTCAGCGCAGAGGCGCACCCAGCAAGTCGCACAGCTACAGCGCTATAGATATGTGAGGCCATGACTAGCCCACCAGTCTTTCGTGTGCTTATCTCGGTCAGTGAAAATCTGCTGATAAAGCTTTGACCGTTTTAAAATTCGCCGGTATGCGCATTGATCGCATAAGGCATGCACTGCCATGAGCCGTTTTCTGTGCCGATCCAGAACCGATTGTGTGGCACGGGCCGTATCTCGAGCGATTCATCAAGATACGATCACGACCCCTTTCTATTGAGTCGAGTCAAGAGCCGGCATAATTGTATCTGAAATGAGCCTGTCACACTGCCCGAGAAATCGGTGAGAAGCGGAAAAGTCATCCAGAATAATGCAATTTCTGTTTTAATTCCTAAAGCCAGGTAGATCAACAGTTCAACACAACGCCGGGTGCAGGCGTTTCTTTCATCATAGTCGGGCATATGAGGAGAGCAAAGTGATGCAATCCGATGAGATTTTATTCGATGAAATTCGATGCACATTGATTATTTATTGCATGGTAACACCAGGGCCGCGTAGCACAAGACTTTCCACTGTGCTTCAAAATTTCACGAATACAATGGCCAAGATGGTTAAGTGCTTTGAATTCTATAATTACTGCAAACATATTTCCATCCAGCTGGTTTGCTATGTATCTGATAACGTTAATCTAGTTATTTATTTCCGCTATTATTAACGTTAGTTGGAATCAGAGAGGCTATTCATTTCTTTTTGATTTATTGCTCGTTGCGAGTATGGCAGTTGAGTCGGCTGGAGTCGGGACGAAATTTCTGAATTGGAACAACAGTGAGTACTGTAGGTACTCGCAATATATTTCAGTTATTAAGTAAGCAGCTTCTTGTCTTCGTCAGTAATGTTGATCATGATTAATGCGAGCATAAATAGCCGATTTTGACGATGCAATGGCATGACATATGCCATCTTTATCATCTATTCACACGGGGAAACTGACGGCTAGCGCAAGGTGTCCGTTAGCCGATGGTCTACCGCAGTTCCCAACGAGCATGCATTTACTTGCAGACAACCTTGATATCAGTCGCAAGACTTCTATACGGAAAAAACAGCATCAAAGCTATGAAGAATGAAGATATCATTTCCCAAACTCAGTGCTCACCACGCAATAAGCGCATACCTACAACATAAACCACGCATATGTCAGTCATAGTTTGCGGTGAGGCTGACTGAAATGGTTGAGCGGTATCTCTTACGACAGTGACCGTTTTCACCGACGGGCTATCCAGCGAGTGCACCTAATTTGACCAAATCTGCACCTAATCTCTTTCACAGCAAATATCTGTATTTTATGAATTTATTTCAGTGTTTTCATCGATGATGCTCTCTGATAATATGACAAAGCAGGCATATAAGCAATTAGTGCAACCCTAGCTGATAGCTAGTAAGAGACACACTGAACCTGATTTGACCTAATCTGCACCAGATGTGCACTAGCTATGTACCAGATGGCCGTCGTGAAAACGGCTAGTATCAACCTTACGTATGACAGCTCAGAGGTATGCAAACTATGACCATGCGCTCGGTTGACCCGGACCGCACAGTCATATAGTGCCCGAGCTTGGAAACGTCTTGCAAATCATCCCGACTTAACTCCAAGTCCCCCGGGAAAATATATCTGATCCTTCAATGATGAAAAGTTAATAAGTGAATGGGATTTCAAAGAAGCCAGCTTCGAGAAAGATTGAATGTCAAGCCGCGAAGTTGCTCGGCTAAATGCCACCGGCGCTGCCAGTTTAAAGCGGTCCTCGGTGGCTGCGAGCCCCGGCCGGGTCACAGCGTACTAGGCTTCCACTGTTTGCTCTAACACGGGTGGAACAGGCCACTAAATGGTCTCCAGATCTCGCCATGTAATATTTATGGGGCCGCCAGTCTCTGAGCGTATGCCGGGGTCGGAGATTCAGCTTCCGTGAAGAGCCGCGGCGCATCCGTCTGTCACTTGCTCGTGGGCTGTGCAGTGTGCACGTTAGACGACGGCTCAGGCTCTGGGCTGCAGTGGCATTTTACTGCCGAGGGCGTCTTTATGTCTCAACATGCAGCCCAAGCATAGCTGTGGAGACATAAACGGTCCCTCGGAATGTGTTCTTTACCTACGCGTACGCATTCTCTTGATTCGATTCTCAAGCTCCTCGGTTCCATCTTCTTCACATATGTAGTTATCTATGAAGGAGCACTAAGCGGGACATTCCCCTTCTCTCCCCCTACCCCATCCCCCGTCCTCCCCGCTGACGCTCTTTGTCGCCTCCCATCCCTCCCACCCATATGGCGCTCGGTGAAACGCGCGGACAATGAGAGCGATGCGTGTTTGAGAGCCGGCGGCCGGCGCTGGCGCTGTCTGCCGCCGGCCGGCCATACCGCGGCAGAATGCCGAGCGAGAGCGGCCAGCAGCCAGCTCGTTCGGCGCGCGCTGACGAAGACAAATCATGTCGTCGGATTAGGCCGGTTAGTTCGAACTCGCTGTTCGAAGCCGAGTTCCGGCGGACTCTGACTGCCTCTGACGGTCGACTGCCGAGTGCCGACCTCCGAGGGCAGAGCTGCGCCCTTAGGGGTCACCCAGGGTCGGACGGGGTCGAAAGAGGTCGGGTGGATAGTTCGGGTTCTTGGGCCGTTCGACCTTTGTGTGTAAACATAGAGATCGGGTGCCTTGTAAACAGGGCCTCGTCTAAGGAATTTTCACTGGGGGGGCCAGAGACTGAAGGAGCCAAACCTAGGGTACCACCAAATCCTGTTTTCTCACCGGATTTAGACCACTTATTTTTCATCACAGCCCTGACACCATGAATATTTTTTTTTTAAACTAAAAAAAAATAGTAGGCCATCCGACCCATGCTTGTATATTTGTTTATAGCCTCCTCACATTGCATCATCAGACAATAATAATCACACTTCTCGTTGTTGAGTGTGTGTTTGAGTGGCAGTGCCGTCAGCCGTGTCTAAGGAATTTGCACGCCGAGCCTTATGTCGAGGGCCCATGCGCATTTTTTTTAGAACCACATCGGTTTCTGATGGGTCCCTCTGAGCGCTCGATGCCGATCTCTGAGGGCTAATGTCAGCTTCTGGACCTACGTCGGCCTGTATGGTAGCCCACACTGGTTTTATATGATCCATACCAGGCTTTAAGGGTCAATCTGAGTGGAGACCGTATTTTCCCACTAGGGCCCCCTCAGACCAGTGTAATGCCTGTGTATCAACATGGAGACTGATGTCTTCTCAGGTGGATTCTCCGTAATCGCCGTGGATCTTCGACACAACCTTAAGGTCGTCACTCGTCAGAGGCTATAAACTAAACAAAAATGAAGATAGTAGTGCTTTGAGGCCAGTTGGGAGTTGGGACACGAAGTGGCTGGCATTTGCCCTCCAGGACTCCATGCCGACTTCTTAAGATAATCCAGCTGTCAGAGTTCCCGTCCCCACAGACAGACCACCAATCTGGCATCTGCGCCTACGTTTGACCACTCAGAACGGGAGCCTGCTTCATTACGATTAGGAGCTACTCTAGCAGCACACCGGTGACCGTCCAGCCAGAAGTTGGACGCCGCTAGCGAGGACGACGATAGGCAAAAACAAGAGATTGACGCCCCGAGGGGCGAGGACAGAAACAACAGATTGATACCTAAAGGAGAAATTTTTGCCGGTAGAGCCTTGGACTCCGCGTGGTGAGGGCACGCGTCCCGGTTATAACAGTCCAGGTTCGAAGCGCGACATCGCACGATCTTTATGAGCCTCCTGGCGAGTATGGTTACGGTTGGTGGCAGGCCGTAGCCATTCGAAGTCAGTGAGGGGACCGGCCGTGCGCGGCTATGTGCATACGTTAAACTTTGGGCTCTAAATTCTGTCATAGATCACGAATTGCGCGATCGGAGGGTAGAGGGCAGGGCCAACGCAAAGCTCTGCTTGGCGGGGGCTCTGTACTTGTGAATCCTTCCATTCAAAAGGTTCGGACAAAATTAATGAAAAAAGAATATCCGGGACACGGAGTTGGTCGCCTGAAAAGACGAAATGTAACGTATTGCTGAGCGAAAAAAGGTTCAGGTAAATAAAATAAACACATAACAGCCCTAGGTAATGGGGTACCTATTTCAATGTGGTCACATTGCATCGTTTCGTTTACGCATTTGTTTTTATGTGCACTGACGCCGCGAAATAAAAATTCGTTTGCCTTTTGACTATTGCCGGCCCCCCCAGTAGGGACTTTTTGCCCTGACTGGGGGGGGGGGGCCAGGTCGATGACTGCGGGGGTTTGGCCCCCCCAGTTAACATGTTAGACGAGGCCTTGCTTGTAAATCAATATAGACTTGCCACTGTTACCTATTATAAAAGTGATTTATTTTCTCCCCAAATGGCAAATTTGCCGTGCTTATTAGGTTCATGGGCAAAAAAGGGCATCAGTAGACATGGTTATATACAATATACAGCATATCAGAGATAGGTGATTCGGAAACAGCTGATAAATAACTCAATGGTATTTTTGGTACCAAGGCAATAACTAATGATATGCTTATTGGCATTGCACGGCAGCATTGCTTTTCACGCCTATTTCAATATGTTGTAGAACTATAGGTATGAGGTACGTACCTAAAAAGGTACAAATAATACAAAAATAAGTAAAAAGTAAAATTTCTCAATCAATAGGTTACCTCCGATGCAATTTTCCTTCACAGGGACACCGGTTCCTAAAAAGTTGGGCCGCCGGTTGATTGATTTGTTCGGCTGTGGTTTTTACGTCCATCAGAGCTCGTCGCTGATTTCCGGGCCGCTGATGAAGCCGGGAAGGCCTTATACCTCGGCAGAATCGCATGTGTGCCGTGTGTGGTGCGCTTCGGACAGCATTCGGTCACAATCAGACGAGCGCACAGACGAGGCTTTTGCTTGAACGTCGCCAAAGAACGTCTCTTCAGTCGGGTCGATTTTCAATCAGCCCCGTGCAAAACAAGCCTGGGCGCCTGTACGACGAAGGCAGGCAGCGTGTATAGCACGCATTGTGCTGCCAGCTCCGCGCGCAGGGTCTGATGTTGGCCAACCATTAGTCGGTCGGCTCATCTTACGACCGACAATACAGCTTGTCAGGTCCGTGACATTTAAATAGAGGCTACTCAGCGGAGTTCGATGCGTGCCTCAGTGACGCTCAGTGTAATTATTACTGAGGTTACTTTCTCTGCAGAAACGTGTTATGGAGCTAATGGGTTGCTTCTCTATCAGTAACACATCCCCTCAATAAACAGATGCGATGATGCGGTCAGTTCACTGGCTGCGTGTGATACGGTACAGCCTAGCCTCACAGGCGCGGCACTAGCGCCATCTGTGACTGGGTATAGAAACTACCAAGCATGAAGTGCAGCTGGACAGAGCCTCGCAGTAGGAATATCAGCAAAAATGGGATTACTTTATTAGTTATAACCATTGTGGTGTCAACATTCACATTGATCAGGTGCAACTAGTGCAACGATAGAGAAATAATTTGGGAAGTGAATGGCAATTTAGTTAAGCGATGTCGGAAAACGATTCTATCTGGTCTCTTGGTCAATCAGCTTGGGAGTGTATCTACTCGATAAACAAAACAAGCAATTGTCTCACCGTTTGTTCTACAAACACTTTCCTCGGTAAATCCTTTCCGTGAAGTGAAGATTCTCCTATACAAGTTTTCTTTTCATCTGAGCTTGATACTGTGAGATTGATCCCAGAAACCGGAAATCTCCCTTTTTCAACTTATACACTGCATCCGGCAATTCTCGTGTCTTCATCATAACCTTTTTATTTAAGAAAACGTTTTATTAAACGTTATCAGTTAGTGACTCAAACCCGCTGCGAGTCTGGCCTACTCGGACCGCGCTGGGTGTCGCTCGGCTCTCTGCAGCCGCTCCTGTCTCTGGGGTGCTCTGCCCATCTGTGTGACCAGTCCAATCCCCGGGGAGCCGTCACCGGCGCGAGCCCTCTCCCGCCGACGACCCATCGGAATTCCTACCGACCTGGCGCATTGTGCCGGCCGGCCGTTTGGCTCGCGGCGGCTTCATTGAGCGCGACGGCAGCGGTCGGGTCGCCGCGGGACCCTGCCAGTCTGCCGTATCACTATCTGATAAAAAGTCATCAATCAGCGCGACAGCGCAGTCTGGCGGAGCTCCAGAGCGGCCGCCGAGCGGGGCGCCGAGCGGGGCGCCGGGAGCCGGGTCGGGGCTGGAGGGACCCCGCCAGCCACCGCTGACCGCTACTGCGTCCATCATAGGAGCTGAACGGGCGCGACAATCGCTGACGGAGGATCATCAGACGTGACACCGGGAGCGGCATTAACGGGGGACGGCGGAGAACATCAGAGCGCCGACTGAGCGGAAACTCGGACACTAACCATGTGTAGTTAGAGCATCACCTCCGGCACAGCAGTGACACAGGCCAACTGGTCAGTGAACTACTATACTACAAACTGTGGACCACACTTAGTGGAACACATACATGTTGATCGTCGAAATTAATTGGTTGTCTTCCTAATCGGAACCATACAATATGCAATGCTTTGATTCCGTTCGCGTAAAGGGAGCGCCTTCTTTGCATCGTGTATTATTGTGACGTTCAGGTTACGTTTGTAGGAAATATTTCAATGGATGCATATTGCATAATAACCCCACTGTCGAGTCGTCGACGTGCTCTAAAAACTCAACAAACAAACAAATATTTCACCCTGATGGCTCACAATCGCAGCTAGATGATCGAATACTTTAAAACACGGTTGAAGTGTATCTCAGCATTAAACATCAACGATCTCTACGAGTACTAAACGGAACACTTAAATCAGAAACCTCGAGCCATCACTCGGATGCAAAGTTTCCGACTTCGCAAACTTGTTTCTGGAACTTTGCATTTTCTGATCGGATGGGTAGCGTCGGTCTCTTGGTCGGATCATTATCCGCTGAGCATCCAGTTAAAATGAAGGGTGAAGGTCATAGCATCTTGCAATAATGGCTCGGTAGCCAGGCAAGTCTGGGAAGATATCAACAACATCTCTTTTATAGGTAGCTGCCTAACTATCCGGCATCATCTATGTGAAGCATATTGCCTGTTTCAGTGGCCTGACTCAATGGTCATCTACATGAAAACTTTTGTATGTACGTGCACTGTGGCCTGAAATGTACATATTCCGCTCTAATGGCTGCGTTATTGACATTGTCAAACCTATAATCGGCCTCTGTATCCCAATGTGGTGACCTGACCTAGAGTCGACGACCTGACCGGCAGCGGCAGATCGTCAGGTGACCTGACATCCATATCCCACCCTGCCCTGACCTGGATTCGGTGACCTGACCGGCAGCGGCAGATCGTCAGGTGAGCTGACATCCATATCCCACCCTGCCCTGACCTGGATTCGGTGACCTGACCGGCAGCGGCAGATCGTCAGGTGACCTGACATCCATATCCCACCCTGCCCTGACCTGGATTCGGTGACCTGACCGGCAGCGGCAGATCGTCAGGTGACCTGACATCCATATTCCATATCCCACCCTGCCCTGACCTGGATTCGGTGACCTGACCGGCAGCGGCAGATCGTCAGGTGACCTGACATCCATATCCCACCCTGCCCTGACCTGGATTCGGTGACCTGACCGGCAGCAGCAGATCGTCAGGTGACCTGACATCCATATCCCACCCCGCCCTGACCTGGATTCGGTGACCTGACCGGCAGCGGCAGATCGTCAGGTGACCTGACATCCATATCCCACTCCGCCCTGACCTGGATTCGGTGACCTGACCGGCAGCGGCAGATCGTCAGGTGACCTGACATCCATATCCCACCCTGCCCTGACCTGCAGGGGTCGGTGAACGGACTGGCAGAGGCAGGTCTTCAGGTGACCTGATAACCATGCCCCTTCCTGTCCTGACCTGGGGTCGGTGATCTGACATCCCCTGACCTGGGGTCGGTGAGTGGACTGGCAGCGGCAGGTCGCCACGCCCCTTCCCGTTCTGACCTGGGGCCAGTGATCTGACATCCCCTGACCTGGGGTCGGTGAGTGGACCGGCAGCGGCAGGTCGTCCTCTCTGCGCCAGGTGACGGTCGGCTGCGGCACCCCGGACGCCCGGCAGATGAGTGTGACGTTCTCACCCTCGAACGCAGTCACCTCGCTCATGTTACCGTCGCTGGAGATGTCCGGCGGCACTGGAATCACAACGGAGACGGGGTGGGCCGGAGAGGCGGCCGTGTGACAACACAGGTAGCTTCAACAGCTAGTGTATTGCATTGTATTGTATTGAACAGTCATGAGCGATCCACATTATCAAATCGCATGGCGATTCCTGTTCAGTTAGGTGAGGTGCATCCGTAAGGGCCGGTACTAGCCCGTGTATCTCTTCGTCGATGCTACTCATTCCTTCACAACCCGTCACTACCCTCTCTCCTCATTCGTCACCATTCCTCCCTCTGCCGCCCCTCACTCGCCGCTCCGCGCGGCACTCACCGGTGACCTCGAGGAAGGCGTGCTGCTGCGTGACGTTGGGCGTGTTCACCTGGCACGTGTACCAGTCCTGGTCAGTCGGCCGCACGCTGTCGATGTGCAGGTGCCACGTGCGGCCGTTCTCGTGCGTCACGCGGATCCGCGTGTCGGGAGAGATGCGCGTGGTGTGCACGGCCAGCACGGCGGCACCCGTGCGCCGGATCCAGGCCACCTGGCGGGACAGAGAGAGACGCGGTTAAGTTGTGTTTGGGCTGGGTTGGGTCGGTTGGGTTGTCTTTTGATCGGTTCTTCTGCATTATCCTATTGACTTTTTATATTATATGATCCCAAAAGGCTACATGAAATTATTGCTGATACCGTTCACAGGATGGTCATTATGAGATGAGCATATGCTGACAGCCCTATTCAATATTGAATAGCCAACATGTTTCTATTGTGAGCCGATGCATTTGGAGCTCTGAAGCATGCTGTGTCGGTGCTCATTGTGCGTGCCGGGGCACTCCTTCAATGCAGAGCTCTCCACCGCCGGTGGCGCACAGAGTAAAAACAAAGGGCCCATCCACAAACAGATGCTATTCTTTAATCAGATTATGGCCGGCCGGCTTCTAACTCTGGCCGGAGGCTGCCAAAGTTGGCGCTCATTTCCCGCCGGCCGCCTCTACAGAGACAAAGTCCCGGTGAATTTACCTGCCGCTCCTGTGCGGCCGCTCCGCCGCCAGAGTTGGTAATCTTCAGGTTTATTCTACAAGTCCCCTCAAGAGCTGTTGCTTGTTAAAGTTTTTTAATGAATGCGCCGGGCGGAGGGCACATTTCATTCGGGGCCGGGCGTTAATGCGTCCGCCGGCCGTTCGGCCGATCTCGGCAGCTCGTTGGGCCGTGGAACGCGTGCAATCGGACAAACTCCTCCGATCGGGAGTTGGCCGAACCGCCGCGGAGCCACTTTGTCGCCGGCGGCCGGTGTCAGTGACACTCGAACACCAGTCGGCCACGACCCGCCACGACACAAGTTAGCCCGTTCGACAGTTGTCGCCGGCGGAACTCGGCGCCGACCAATTCGGCGCGACTGAGACAATAACGACGCTAGTGACGTCATTCGGGCGGCAAGTTGTAAAATTTCAATTAGTCGCCGTCTGATAAACGATTCGGACGGCGGGCGAGAGGAGAGGAGGGCTCTGTCAGCTCTGATGGAAGGAGAGCGGCAGCAGCTCTGATGAAGCGAAGCTTCGACAGTTACGGGGGAGAGAGGGAGAGGGAGAGAGAGGGGGTCACAAGCTCTGGCGATCGTTGGCTTTGTCAGCTACCGTAGAGAAACTAAGAGAACTGTGGCACATAGCTTTAACATCTAGTGTTAGAATAGCTCTGATGAGGGCTGCATTACCTGCGCTGTGAGCTCTGCTACGCCGGCTAGTTAGATAGCAGCGACTTGGTTGTTGTAGTGCTGAGCTGCGCCAGCCCCTCAGGCAGCGGCGGCTCGGTTACAATAGCTCCGACCTTACCGTCGACCTTATCCACGGCGGCTCGGTTACTATAGCTCTGACCTTACCGCCGCGGGTAGCTGCCGAGCTGCCGCCGACCGTTCCATCTCTCAGCTATCTCGACACCGTCGGACCCACCCATCCAGACTGCATGACGAGCTGACGGAGCGGGGCTGCCCGGTAACCTGTTCTTTAGCCAAACGACTGACCGGACACTACTCCACTGCTTCCTGCTGGGCTGCGGGACGACACTGATTGTGGCTGTGCCACATAGCTATGCCACAGAGGACCGCATATTTGGGATTTAAGTATTGTTTGCAAGTATGTATTGCAAGCAAGAATTGTTAACGGCGCCATAAGACCAACAAAAAAGTGATATGCATTTTCCCTTTCGCGATCGAAACATGTTGCTCATGAGTCATGAGTCTAGTGCCAGCGGGCTATTTCAAAGCGCGTGCGTGTCAAAGAGCGATTCAGAAAACAGCGACTTAAAAACAGCGACAGAAAAGCAACGACTCACTCAAAGTGATCCACATCAAAATTGTTGTGGTGTGGGTTACCTCTACACCGCCCATTTCCGGAGTCGCCGGCACATATGCCGGCTTTCTCGGACGGTTTACGCCCCAGTTGGTCCCTCTCAGCAGTTTGTGGAGCGTCCCGCGCCTCTGGGAGCTGTTGAGGGTGGGCTTGGATTGCCTGTGAGACGCGCCCGCTGTGTAGTCGTCCGTCGGGTGCCAGCGACCACAGAGGGCCAGCAATTATTGTCCGGCCCGGCCCGTGGTGCTGCTCCGTTTATCGTCTGTGCCGAGCCATAAATCCCGCGGCTGCCCTCCCGCCGTCCGCGCAGCCCGCCCCCGGTCGGACGTTTATGATGTGCGTGTATTGTGCCGCTGGGTGGTGTCGGCCCACAGCGATCAGCCCTGTCGGCCCACAGTGATCATCGCCTCTGTTGGCGGATCACCGGCCGGTGACGCCAGAGCGGGGATAAATTTTCAGAGACAGAGTGACAGAGGGACAAGAGGACGGAAAAGGACAAGAGTGACAAGTGTGACACAAGTGTGACAACCTTGAATGAAGTCAGCGTCACGCTTCTCCCCCTTCCAGTTCCACAAACAAGTAGATGAATGAAGAGGCTGTCGTCGGTATTGTATGCTTTGTCTCTGATCTCCTCAGTCCTTACCCAGGGGAACGCTTGCCTGAAATTACTCCGAATCTCCCCAGTTTGCCCTTTCGCCTCATATGCACGGTCTTCTCATACCTCCTGTAATATCTCGGTCTCCCCTATTGTCTACCCGTCTCCTAAAAACCCTGTGTCGTCTCACGTCTCCCCGCACACCCCTGTGTCGTTTGCCCGCCTCGCCATATTCCCCTGTCGTATCCCGACTCCCCATTCACCCTATGTCGTCCCTCCGTTATCCCTGTCGTCTGTCCGTCCCTCCATATACCCCTGTCCCTGTCCGTCTCCCTGACTAGCCCTGGCGCGCTGCCCTGCCTCCGGTCTCGTCGGCCCACGCCGGAAATCCTGTTTGTCGACGGCGCGGCTACGGGTAACGTGGTTGGCCAGCAGCCCGTCCTGACCACGCACTGACCACCGCTCGCACTGACCAGCTGTCAGATACGCCATCGGAGGGCCGGACTGGGAATGTGGGATGCTGAGAGGGGACTGGTGACTGGACTGGAGGGGACTGAACAGGGGACTGAACTCGTGGAGTACCAGCCATGACATCAATAACTCAAACGGTAGATATTTGATACGATGGAGTTTTAAAAAATCTGATTATTTATTCTAAGAAATTTGTCGAGGCATCAATGGCTGCACGTCACATTTCATAAGTCAACTAAAATGAATATCATTAATTGCCTCTTAACCCGCAAGGGATACGCATCAACGCTTTCGTTCACGCCTCACTAAGGTAGACATACGCCTTGAACCTACCCTATCATCATCCTCAATAATTAATTACGGACACCTTATTTTCCTGTGTTTTCGTCGCCTCGGGTACTGGAGATGTTTACTAATCAATGAGCAAACTTTGCTCGTCAATACCGTCAGACGGTCTGGAGGCGCCGGCTCCCGTCCTCAGGGCCGCTGCGTGTCCCAGCCGGCCACCCGGCGAGACCCGATGGCACTCCCCATTGACTGGGGGTTATAAACTTTGGCCGCTGTCCAAATTAAAAACGCCCTTCGCCGGTATTAGCGGCGGCTGTCGTGGCGTGCTGTCCCGTGGGTATATCACGGGGAGACGGAGGGAGACAATAACCGGACAGGACGGCGGAGCGGCGGCGGCAGCTGCCGGCCTGCAGCGGCTGCCGCGCTGCCACAGCTGCCATGGCTGGCCGCTGGCTCTGACAGGAACTGTGGTGCTCTCTGTGACTGTGGGTGAGCTGTGGGTCCGCCGCAGCGGCCACTGTGACCAGCGGGCTGTCTGTGAGAGACAGCACTCACGGAGCTGGCTGAAGAACCCCCAGAGCGGTGCCAGGTCCTGTCCCGCCCATCCGTCCCGCCTATCCAGCTGGCGGACTGAGGGGGCGGACCGACGGACTGGGAAGGAGGGTACAAGGCGACTGGGGAGTCAAGGAACAGTCACTGCTGATAGGAGCTCCGCCACAGTGCCGAGAACAGGGGTGATCTGACAAGTAATACGCAGAAGCTAATGATCCACTTTGTTAAAATGTAGCAAGGGAAATGAAGGAAAAAAGAAGAAAATAAAGAAAATTACTCCATCTGGCGGTTCATCAAACACCGCAGTCCACTGTCATTTGACTGTTGTAGCCGAAGAGAGAAGATATTGCTGCTGTAATGACTCGGTAGTAGAGCTGGTAGACAGTTGAACTTGAGTCTTGGAAAAGATCCAGAGAGAGATCTACAGAGAGATCCAGATAGTGATGAGATCCTGAGATAGATGTAGATATAGATCCACCTGATGAGATCTCGAGATAGGGATCGTGATAGAGATCTTGAGATGTCGTCCACCTGGGAGAGATGTAAGTCCAGATCCACCTTGCATACAAATACATCTGATGGAAGATGCTTTTTAATTTAGAGGCTTGATGATTCTGTTCATTGTATAGACCATGATGTACGAGATGCTTCTTCACTGCTCGGATTAGGGATAGAGGGATCCGATCAGCTGGGTTTGCGGCACAGTTGGGCAGGTGAAGGACAGGGCATTCGAAGTCCCGATGACCACTGCCAAACTTAAGGGTGGTAATTACATTGATAAATTGAATGTGATCATTCGTCCAGTCACCCATCCCTATATCACTGGCCTCCCCATTACGAAAATTGCCCACTTAATTCGTATTAGCGTTGCGATAGTTTAGTTGCCCTCGAGGGTTGCTAGCTCGACTGCCGTAACCGAATTCTACGCAATTCCTATCGGCCTTATTCTAAGATTCATCCTTCACCATTCTCACACCCTTGTTCGCGTTACATTCACCTTTCATGCATTCACCCAAATTTAATTCGTAGCCCTCGAAATTCCCTCCGATAGTGTTAGGCGTCGGATCAACAACGATCTCCCCGGCGAGATAAATGTCTCTTTCCGAAATCCATATGCATGCTCCGCTAACCGGCGACAAAGATACTTATCGCAGGGCCGTCCAGAATAATTGCACAAATATCCACCCTACTAATTTATGGAATTCACTACACGTCCGATAGACTTATGGTACACATATACACGATTTATATCCGACTTATCTCTCTACCGGGAGAGATTACCTATGCCCTCTT